ATACATCGGACCATAGAACCGGATTTTATTAATAACCGGTTAGGTTTACTTAATTTTAAAATCAAATATGTTTGAGTTTTTGATTTTATGTCCTCTCATTTTTATACCTATTTCTCTTTTTCATTTATTAGAATTTTAAATACATTTGCCCAATTTAAAAAAAAAGTTATTATTTTAAATACACCATTATTTTCTTTTTTACATTTTTATATTTATAACAATTTTAAAAATAAAAAATAAGAATAAAATTAAACAGAGTATAAAAATTAAATGCATTCAATATTTTAAAGAAATAGTGTTTTCATGAAAATTCTTTTACACAAGAGATAAGAAGGAGTATGAATGAATGCAGATGTTTGTTGAAATTTCAGTGAGTCAAGTAAATAAATTGTCTATTTTGATATGTGTTGTACTATTTTTTCACATGTTAATCGTTTCTTGGAGTTTTTTTACATGAATGCCACAAGTTAAAATAAAAAGTACTGAATTGTCACAAGTTGAAAAAAATATACCGAATTTGCCATGGTTTCTTATAGGGGTCGTCCAATGGAACGACGAACCTATGAAGGTGCTTTCGGCGAACCATTGACCGACCCTTTGAAAGTTTTTTTTTTGTTTTATTTTTTTTGTTTTAAATATAAAATATAAAATATTTATTATGATTTTATATATTTAATTGTTTTTTAAATATTAAAAACTCTTTTGATGATTTAAAATATTTATAAATAAATAATTTAATTAATTTTATAATGTTATTAAATATTTTCCATAACATTTAATTAATCATCTCATCGATTAAAATAATTTACTTATTAAATAAAATCATAAATAGAAGCTGTTTTATTAATACCAATGAATGAAAAAGATACATCATTTTTGTCTACGTAAATGACCGCCAATTCCACACATTTTACTCTTTTTCACACGTTTTCTCCTGCCTAACTCTTCGGGTTGCTGTCTTATAGATGATGGAGTAGAGTCGGAAGACAACTCTTCATCTTCACATACATTTTCAGGTTGATGTGATGTATCGACTATGTCCACATCAGTAATAGAAAAACCAAGTCATTCCATGAGTTGATCATCAGTTAGGAGATAGTTGGAGACTGGTTGGGATGGTTGGTTGAAGGTGGTTGGAGGGCTTTGTTGGATGGGAGGATAATAAACATCGTCAGTGCAGCCGATAGAAGTGGGTTGAGAGAGTGAAGGGTTAAATGTTTGATGTTGTGATTGGGGGTAAGAGAAATCAAAGTTAGGTCGAGGAATTGGAGTGAATTGGAAGGATGTTCGAAATATGGTTTGTTCCTGGTATTCTTGATGGTAGTAGAAGTTAGGTTGCGGGGTTGGGGTGTATGGTGTTGGTTGTTGAGAGGAGGTGGCAAAGAATGTGGTATGAATGCGTTGATATGTTGGTTGGGTTGTGTGGGTTAGGGGTGTTGGTATGTGGTCTGGGGGAATGAAGATGTCTGAGATTGAAATTGCGAAGGGTTCATCTGGGGGATTTCCTGAGGCATGGACGATGAGGATCTTTGTTGTGATGAAGACGATGCATATTGACGGGGGTCTTCTAGGAACTGGCCTTGAGAAGCATGCATAAATGAAATGGATAAAAACCATTGAATATATGCAGTACTATGAACATAGTTACCGTTAACCATGTTACCTTGTAAGGTCAATTTTTTCTATTCTTCCACTCGTTGTTCTCTTCTCTATTTATATTGCGCCAATGATCTCCCCATGCATTGGGCATTTCAGTTTCACGTTGTTCGCGTAGACATCTAAGCCAAGAAGGGATATCTTGTTGAAATCTAAACTGCAATTTGACCCTATCAGCTTTATGCATTTCAACAATATGAAAACTGATAATTGAAGTGGTCGTGCTCCAGACCTGGCTATCTACAAGGACACATTTTGGGTAGTTCGGGTAGGGCCTCCAAATAAACTGTTACAAAAAATATAATAGTTAGAGTTTAAATATAGATGTTAGCATATATTTAGAGAATGTATCGGTAACAAACTTACATCGTTAGCCCTCAATCTATCTAGTGTAAATCTAAATCCTCGTATGTAGTGCTGAGGATTATTTTGGTAAGCCATGCCTCTTCAAACAAATCTTGCAATTTTAAAAGAAATAAATGTAATAAAGGGATGTAAAAAAAGAAAAGAAAATATAAATAATTTTTACCTTGTTGCGTAAGGATGGTATGAATCGACGGAACTCTCTGGAGTAATTAGTGGTATATGTCAATATGTCCAAACACTTAGTAGGAGAACGCATCCTCCAATACATTTTACCCCTACCCTACATGCTTTACACATATGCTTATGTAATGTAGCTAAAGAAGCAGAACCCAACTATATCTATTGCATTTATCTAAATCTCCTACTAGGGGTATCCAAGAAGAATGTAAATAGTTATGACTCTTGTATGACATTAATACTTTAGCTATGAATAGTAATATATAAATTTTTGCATGGAGAGGGTTCTTCTCATCGGATGGCGATGCGTTTTGTCGTAGTTGTGCTAATATAGTTTGTAGCCAAATAATTTTAACACAGGCTTTATGTTTATCGGATGTTGAAGGCTCGATACATAAATTTTCCATATATACATCACTGCCTACCTGAGTAGGACCATTCACAGCCTTACCATTTACACGAATACCTAATAACATACTTACATCCTCCAACGCGATGAAGACATATCTTCCTAGAACTGTTATATAGTTGGAAACATTGCCAATTATTACAGACGATGGATCCCAATTGGGCGACAAGCAGAAATTTCACCGACTTTTTTAGGCATTTGAACCGTGTATCCTTGGTTTTACTTACTGTAAACCTATTGTGAAAATTGACGAAACCTGGTTGTACGACAAGTACAAAGGAACTTTGTTGATGGTTATGGCACAAGATGGAAATGGTAACATTTTTCCGATAGCATTCACATTGGTTGAAGGTGAGACAAAGGATGGTTTGAGTTTCTTTCTCAGGAATTTGAGAACGAATGTGATCCCCCAGGCCAATCTTTGTCTAATATCCGATCGACATCCATCAATCAAGAGTGCTTACGATGATCCTGGAAATGGTTGGCAGTATCCTCCATCTTCACATGTTTACTGTATCAGACACATTGCGCAAAACTTCATGCGTGAGTTCAGAGACAAAGAACTACGAAAAATAGTTGTCAACATGGGTATGCCTACATCTTCACGGGTTGATGTTTCAATAAATATTTATTGACCAATTGATTTTCATATATTTTACAGAACATTTTTTTCTACAGGATATGCATTAACGGAGGCAACATTTAACTGCTACCGGGGCGAAATACGAAGAACAAATAGAGCAGCTTTGGAGTGGATAGATATCATTCCCAGAGAGAAGTGGTCGAGGGCGCTCGACGGAGGACAGCGGTGGGGACACATGACAACAAATTTGGCCGAAGTATAAACTCGGTACTTAAGGCTACCCGAAACCTTCCTATTATTGCATTGGTCAAGAAACATTCTATTGCCTGGGATCGCTGTTTGGAAAACGAGGACACGATTGGACAAAAATGTTGGCATCCGGTCAAACTTTCACGGAAAACTGTAATAAAGGAATGGCCGACGAAGCGAGTAAATCTAGCAGCCATAATGCCATCCAATTTGATCGCGAGAGATTCTATTTTATGGTTGCCAAAAGCATTAATCAACACGACGGTCGACCATTAGGTACTTTTAATGTTGATCTCAGGAGAGGGTGGTGCGATTGTGGGAGGTTTCAAGCATTTTATTTACCTTGCTCCCATGTAATTGCAGCATGTGCTAGTATACGACAAGACCACAACATGCACATACCAGATGTTTTCAATGTTCTGAGTGTATTCAAAGTCTACAGCGAAAGCTTCCTTGGACTTCCACACCACCAAAATTGACCAACATATGAAGGATTCACTCTTTGCCATGATGAGACAATGCGAATGAATTAAAAAGGGCGTCCAAATAGTACAAGAATTAGAACCGAAATGGACGATCTTGAGAAAGAAAATAGAAGATGTGGAATATGTCGAGAAATTGGCCATATGCGTAGAAAATGCCTGAATGTAGCAGCAGACCCGTCAAATCGGCCCGTCTAAATTAATTAATTTGTTTTTAAAATTATTTTTAAAAATATTTCTTAAATTATAATGTCTATTATATAAGTTATTAATATTTTAAATCATCAAAAGAGTTTTTATATTTATATTTAAAAACAAAAAACAAAAAACTTTCAAAGGATCGATCAATAGGTGAGAGCCCCTTCATGAAAGAAAACATCTTCGTAGTGAAAATAAATGGTGGGTGGCCCGATAGCGGAAACCATAGAAGGTGGCCCATCGGATTTTAAAGAGACTTTGATACCATGTTAAGAAACGTGGTTGGGCCTAACTCAGCCCTACAAAACCGGTTGGTAGAGTGAGGATTGCCCCCACTTATAAACACATGTTCATTCCATATATTGTCCGATGTGAGACTCTTAACAGAAATAACCCCTATAAAAGAAATCATGATAGTTTAATACATTTTTTTTAAACTTGTGATAATTCAATTCTTTTTATTTTAGCTTGTGGCATTCATGTAAAAACTCCGTTTGTGTATTCTTTCAAAAATCTCCCATCATAATATTTTGTTGATTGATTGCTCGCATGTCGGCACTCGGCATGTGTTCACTCACCTTGGACAACGTACCCATCTATAAATATCCGTTCTTTTTCATCAAAACAAATCTATCCATCCATTTTTTTTCATAATATAAAAACAACTTAGGTGTATATTTATTTTGCTTAAAAAACCATCAACAAAATATTTTACTTTAAAAAGAAAATAAATCTCATCCTTCCCAAAATAACAAAAGAAAAAAATTTAATTAATTATTCTTTCTGTCCACAGCTACACCTACAAGTTGCTGCAAGCTAACACCAACAAAAAGGTGTCTTGCAAAAGAAACCACCACCACGCCATCGCCACCGCCATATCATGAGCATCTCCACCACCGTTTTCTCTGAACCACTCTTCAACTTCAAACTTTCTCACTACCACAGACTTTCTTCCACTCACCGTTTAAAGACAAATCCACACTCTTTCTCTTCCTCTTCATTATTTTCCTCCAATAATAAAAATAATTCGTGTTCATCGACATTCAAGCCGGACAGGTTTCTTTCTCCAAAGTTTCAAACTTTTGCAACAAATACTGATACCCTTGAATCAATTCACTCTTCTGATGTCATTTTCAATCAGACTCATCCCATCAACAGAATTGAACTGGTATCATCACTCATGTCTTTCAATATTGTTGTGTTAATTATCTTGTTATTTACTTTTTGGGTCATCACGTTTTCTGAGAATGTTAAAGTTTCAAATAATTTAATGCTTGTACTTCTTAGTTCTATAAACGAAAGTCACATGTACATAAAAAAGGCAAAGAGCTTTTTTGATTATTTTTTAAAATTATTTTTATTTTTCTTACTTGAAATGGAATCTACAGGTGGAGGGAAAGGTCTTTGTTAGATTAGATCAGGGGGAGGATTTAAAGAATTTGGAGCTTATTGTTGGTTGCAATCTACCAGGAAAGTGGATTCTTCATTGGGGAGTTTCCCGTGTGGATGATGTTGGAAGGTACATCATGTTAAATAAGTTGTTTGAATTCATGGTTATCAAATCATCATTCATTTGGAAGAACTATTTTCTAAATTGTGATTCGAATTTTTTTTATTACGAATAGTAAGCTATATCATTACTAATAGTCCCTTTAAGCCAACTCAGTTGATAGCTCTGCTAGAACGTAAGACTGCACCGGCGCGGGTTAAGATACTGATAATCATGTTTGAATTTGATTTCGTTTAATTTTGTGATACAATAAAGATGTTTATGATGTAAGCTTGAATGTGCAGTGAATGGGATCAACCTCCCCGAGATGTGATACCTCCTGGATCTATTCCTATAAAGGTAGACAATGGTTTCATGACTTGTCTTGATCTCACATTTGACACATGTTGATTATTTTTTTCATGTATAATGTTTGAGTATGAAGTGAAATTTTCAGGACTATGCAATAGAGACGCCGTTGAAGAAATCCTCTGAAGGAGATACTTTTCATGAAGTCAAAATCGGTCTTAAAGCTACCGATGATATTTCAGCGATTAATTTTGTTCTCAAGGTTTATGTCTTTACAGTTAGAAATTGGATATGTTAGTTCTAGTCTTAACAAAAAAAATTCTACTTTTTCCCTCCATTCCAACTTGGGTGCTCACTGTCAACGCAGGACGAGGAAACTGGTGCTTGGTATCAACACAAAGGAAGAGACTTCAAGGTTCCTCTGGTCAACGATATTAAGGACGATGCTAATGTAATTGGACCTAAAACAGGCTTTAGTTTGGGGCAAGGTAATTTTGAAATCACTATGCATCACTTCTTCAGTGAATTCTATTTTGTCTCCCTTAAATTTGAAAAATAACAATATGGTTGATCTTATTTGTTCGAAGAATGAAAGTTGCTTGGATCCTGACATTAAGTTGAATTTAAATCTTTGTGTTGATAAAAGCTTGGAATAGTGAACCATTTGTCTTCTCAATTTTGAAACGACCATTCATCGAGCTTATATGTTAGGAACACTCCTTTTTCTTTTCATCGATTTTTTTACCCTTTTGGTTATGTCCTCGCAAGATTTTCTTTATGAGCTTGAACTGACTTACATTTCTCGTTTTTTCCTCGCTCACAGGGGACATAGGGCAGCAGATATCTAACGCTCTCCTCAAGTCGGAAGCAACCGATGATAAAGTTCAAGATAACAACAGTGAATCCGAAAGTCCAAAACTGGAAAGCAGTCAAGTAGAAGGTTTCTCTGTCGAACTACCTTTAACCAAGGAAGTTACTGTCAATAACTCTATCAATGTCTCAATTAGGAAATGCTCCGAAACAGCAAAAAATATTTTAGATTTAGAAACGGATATAATGGGAGATATTTTCCTTCATTGGGGAGCTTGTAGAGATGATTTAAGAAAGTGGGAAGCTCCACCTGCTCCTCATCCACCAGAAACCATAGCATTTAAAGATACAGCTTTGAGAACTCGATTGAAGGTAGTCTTGTGATGAGTTGCGTCTTTTTTGTTTTCTTCGCGTTCTATGACATATTTGCCTGTCCATTCTCTTATGTAGTCAAGAGGCAGTGGCGAGGGAAGTTCGGTACAAATCTCTCTGGGAGAAGAGTTTTTGGGATTCCTTTTTGTTCTGAAGATAAATGGAAATACTTGGATAAATAACCAGGGGAATGATTTTTACGTCCCTCTCTCAACTTCTGGTAGCTTAACTATTGGCAACATAGAGGACCAATCGATAGTCACGAAGTGTGAAGAGACTCCCGAAGAGGAATCTAATGCTGAATTTACCAATGAAATAATCAATGAAATAAGGAGTTTGGTTACAGGCATTTCATCTGTGAAGAGACGAAAAACGAAATCCAAAGAAGCACAGGAAACCATTCTTCAAGAAATTGAAAGACTGGCCGCTGAAGCCTACAGTATCTTCAGAACCTCCGTTCCAACTTTCTCCCCGGAAACTATTGTGGAATCCGAGGTTGCTTTGGAAGCTGAGTCACCGGAGTTGCCTCCAAAAGTAACGTCAGGAACAGGCACAGGGTATGAAATAGTGTGCCAAGGATTTAATTGGGAATCTCATAAATCTGGAAGATGGTACGTAGAGCTTAAAGAGAAAGCTGCAGAATTATCGTCTCTTGGCTTCACTGTGATTTGGTTACCGCCACCTACAGACTCCGTTTCACCCGAAGGATACATGCCAAGGGATTTATATAACTTAGATTCTAGGTACTTTATTAAAAGTCCCTTAAAGATCGAAATATTTCATAGCTTAAATAGGAATTTTTGATATTAACTGTTACTTTTATTATTTATTTATTTATTTATTTTTATATTAGATACGGTACCATTGATGAACTCAAGGATGTGGTGAAAACATTTCATAAAGTTGGAATCAAAGTTCTAGGAGATGCTGTTTTGAATCACCGATGTGCTCAGAAACAGAATCAAAATGGTATTTGGAACATATTTGGAGGTCGTCTCAACTGGGATGATCGTGCAGTTGTAGCCGATGATCCACATTTTCAGGTTTGTCTGTGAGGGTTTTATGTGTATTTTGCTCTTTCTTCTGCCTTTCCTAAATTCTCATCAATACGTTACTTTCCTTTTGTGGTTCAAGATCAATGGATTTCAGTTATATTTTCCCCCCACCAGTGATTGAGAACCTTCAATAATTTGTCAAAACTCGTAACATGTTATTAGGTAATTGAATATATATATTTTTTTCATACAGGGGAGGGGCAACAAGAGTAGTGGCGATAATTTCCATGCAGCTCCGAACATTGATCATTCACAGGACTTCGTGAGAAATGACATTAAAGAATGGTTATGCTGGTTAAGGTTTATATTCCGAATCCTCAATTTCATTAGCCCAAAAGTTTAGTCATGGTTTCATTGATAATGTCAGAAAATATGGTATCTGGTATCTGTAGGGACACTTTTTGAGCACCCTCGCTCTTTCTTTTTTTTACACACATATCCATCCTGTCCTTGGTGTGTTTTTCACTTCACTACTTCTGCGTTGTATCTTTTTCTAATTTTGTCATTTTCAGGGAAGAAATCGGATATGATGGGTGGAGGCTTGACTTTGTAAGGGGATTTTGGGGCGGTTATGTAAAGGACTACATGGATGCAACGAAACCTTACTTTTCCGTGGGAGAGTACTGGGATTCCCTCAGTTATACATATGGTGAAATGGATCATAATCAAGATGCACACAGGCAGAGGATTGTTGACTGGATTAGTGCTGCCGGTGGTAGTGCTGGTGCATTTGATGTTACAACCAAAGGGATTCTTCACTCTGTAAGCACTCAACTTCGATGGTTTTGATAGTTTTCTTCAAATTTACTCATGTATGGTAATGTTATGGGCGAATAGGTATACCACTTTGATAGGAATGGATCGGATCCAACAAATGATGATGAGAATGTGTTAGTTAATAGAGATATTATTGGACCTAAACAATGGAGGGTATATGTGAGAAAGAATAGGAAATTCCACAAATAAATAGGAGTTAGTTTAGGTATTATTCTCCATATAAGGAGGAGTTAGTTTAGGGATTATTCTCCATATAAAGAGGAGTGTATGGGGCAGTAGTGAGGCATTAATTGATTTCTTGTTTTGATATTAGGGTTTGGGCAGTGAGAGAATTATTTCTCTGACTGAGGAGCAGTAGCTCTGGAATTTATTTTACTTTCATAGTCATTAATAAAATACTTTTCTTTATCGTATTATATCAGACCTCTGTTCTATCAATTGGTCCGACCTACCATTGTTCATGCCCAAAGCTCCTAAGATGGCTGAGCGTGTTTCTGCGGTGGAAGAAAGGTTGGAAGGTGTTGAGGCTAGCATTGCTGCGTTACGAGAGTTCATTGGTACTGAGATTCAACGTGCAATGGCTCATCGTGAAATGCCGCAGCCAAGCAGTGCGACAGTTTCCTCACCGCTGGATGAGTTTCGTTTATCTGCGAAGAAGGTGGAGTTGCCGGCATTTACCGGCGACGATCCGGTTGCATGGATCACTCGGGCAGAGACATACTTTGAGGTACAACGAATTTCGCAGGATGTTCGTATTCAGTTGACCAAATTGAGTATGGAAGGCCCTACTATCCATTGGTTTAACCTATGGCATGATTCAACAGAGGAATTGTCATGGGAGAACCTCCGTGAGGCGATGATGGTTCGATTTGGAGGTGGGCGTTTGGAGAATCCTTTTGAGGAATTAAAGGAACTAAAACAATCGGGATCAGTAGAGGAATATATTGCTGAATTCGAACTGTATTCTTCACAGTGTGGTCGTTTGCCAGAACAACAGTTTCTAGGTTATTTCATTGGTGGTTTACGTCATGATATTCGTTCTCGTGTGCGTACCTTCAAGCCTCGCAACCGTTACCTAGCAATGCAATTGGCTCGTGATGTTGAAAGTGAATTTGCAGTGACTTCTGGACAGGGGTCTGGAGCACGTTACAAACCGGGTCATGGTTCTTGGACAAAATCTCAAAAGCCTAATTGGGCTTTTCGCGAAGGGGAAGGGAACAGATCTGCAATTCAGACCCAGCCTAATAATTCTTTGGGCAAAACGCGGACTGGTTCGGATTCTGGATCTCAAACCGTCTCAACACGTCCTACCACTTCTACAACCTCTTCTCGCCCAAATTTAGGTGACAATTCACGCCGTCAATCTCGTGGTGTTCGCCATCTACCAAGTGCAGAAGTTAATGAGCGTCGTGCGAAAGGACTCTGTTTCCGTTGCAACGAACGATGGGATCCTCTCCATCAATGTGCAACAAGACAGTTACGATTGATTATCTTGGGGGATGACGAAATTGTTAACGATGCAGGAGAGATTGTGGTGTTGGAGGCTGCGACAGAAGAAGAGCTCACACAGGAGAAATTAGAATGTAAAACCATGGGGCTGTTTGGTGTATCCATTAATCCAAATCAGGTCCGGATGATGAAATTGGAGGGACGTTTACAAGGTGCATTAATTCTGGTACTTATTGACAGTGGAGCCACACATAATTTCATATCACCTAAGGTGGTTGAAGCCCTGGGATTGTCTATGGTGCCTTCTAATCCTTTGGGTGTTAAGTTAGGAGATGGTCATCGTGTCCTAACTAGGGGTAAATGCAATGGAATTCAGATGACAGTGGAATCAGTGCAGATTTGTTTTGATGCTTATGTGTTGGAGTTAGGCGGTGTGGATTTGATTTTAGGAGTTGTGTGGCTAGAAACTTTGGGGAAGGTGACCATGGATTGGAAAGAAATGTCTATGGAGTTCAACCATAAAGGCAGTATGGTGAAACTACTTGGTCAGGCTGTAGATGATAAGATGGCTACTTTCCAAAGCATTATCACTCCTTCTCAAATGATAGCAGGCTGTGAATGGCCTACCTTGATGGAGGTGTTAGGGTCACCGGTGTCGTGTGTCTCTGATCAACAGACTAAGGAGTTGGAAGGATTGCTAGAGCATTTTGTTATTGTGTTTAAAGAAATCCAAGGTCTTCCTCCGTCAAGAAACACTAGTCATTCAATTGAACTTTTACAGGGTGCGGGTCTGGAAAGTGTGCGACCTTACAGATATCCTCATTTACACAAGGATGAAATTGAAAAACAGATTCAGAGTCTATTGCAATAAGGGGTGGTTAGAAACAGCACCAACGCTTTCTCTAGTCCCGTCATTTTGGTCAAGAAGGCTTTCTCTAGTCCCGTCATTTTGGTCAAGAAGGATCAATCTTGGCGTATGTGTGTAGATTACCGTGCACTCAACAAGAATGAAGTTGCTAGGGCACTTGAAATACGTGAAATTGTGACATCTTTGGGTCCAGCATACATCAAACTTGGGCAAGCATTGAGCATTCGACCTGATATACTGTCACCTGCAGCAATGACGGAGCTGCAGAAGCTCTGTGATAAAGTTCCTTCATTTGCGGATGATGTGGCTATGGCTCTAATTGAAGAGGAGCTTGGTCAGCCATGGAAAAATTTCTATTCTGAATTATCACCCTCTCCCATTGCCGCCGCATCTCTTGGACAAGTATATAAGGGCCGCCTCAAGGAAAATGGGGATTTGGTTGCTGTTAAAGTGCAAAGACCTTTTGTTCTAGAGACTGTTACCATTGATTTATTCATTATCAGGAACCTTGGTTTAGCTCTTCGAAAGTTTCCTCAGATCTCCATTGATGTGGTTGGGTTGGTTGACGAGTGGGCTGCTCAATTTTTTGAAGAGTTAGACTATGTGAATGAAGGTGAAAATGGAAACCGTTTCGCCGAAATGATGAAGAAAGACCTGCCACAGGTTGTAATACCAAGGAGTTACAGCAAGTATACATCAAGGAGGGTTCTTACGACAGAATGGATTGACGGAGAGAAGCTTTCACAGAGCAAAGAAAGCAACGTCGGAGAATTGGTCAATGTTGGAGTCATCTGCTACCTAAAACAGCTGCTTGATACTGGATTTTTTCATGCGGATCCACACCCAGGGAATATGATCCGTACTCCTGATGGAAAACTTGCGATACTTGACTTTGGGCTTGTTACAAAATTGACTGACGATCAAAAGTATGGAATGATTGAAGCAATTGCTCATCTCATCCATCGAGATTATACAGCCATAGTGAAAGACTTCGTTAAACTCGACTTCATTCCAGATGGAGTCAATTTAGAGCCTATCTTGCCAGTGTTTGCCAAAGTATTTGACCAGGCTTTAGAAGGTGGAGGGGCAAAAAACATAAATTTTCAAGATCTGGCATCTGATTTAGCTCAAATTACCTTTGATTATCCGTTTAGGATACCCCCATACTTTGCTCTTATGGATGTTGGAGATGCTACCTGGGAAGAGGAACTATTGCTGAAGAGTCAATTCCCTGATCTGCGCCTTGAGGACAAGGCTAATGTTGTAGGTGGGGGTGATGATAGGAATGGATCGGATCCAACAAATGATGATGAGAATGTGTTAGTTAATAGAGATATTATTGGACCTAAACAATGGAGGGTATATGTGAGAAAGAATAGGAAATTCCACAAATAAATAGGAGTTAGTTTAGTTATTATTCTCCATATAAGGAGGAGTTAGTTTAGGGATTATTCTCCATATAAAGAGGAGTGTATGGGGCAGTAGTGAGGCATTAATTGATTTCTTGTTTTGATATTAGGGTTTGGGCAGTGAGAGAATTATTTCTCTGACTGAGGAGCAGTAGCTCTGGAATTTATTTTACTTTCATAGTCATTAATAAAATACTTTTCTTTATCGTATTATATCAGACCTCTGTTCTATCACACTTGCACAAAATAATAACAACAAAGCAACATGTTTTGAAATATTACTAGTTTCAATGAAGTTATGACGATAATGCTTCTAGTGAAAGAATTGGATTTGCTGCAGTCACATATTTCATGCATTCATGCAGTCAACCCATTGGTGGTAGTTGAATCGAGATCAAACGTTCATGAAATCAAGCTCGATATTTATAGTTTAATGATCATTAGTGCCACTTTTAAAAAATGAGCAGACAAAAGTGCACGCCTTTACTACTTTTTCTTTCTACTAGACAAGTCTGTTTATTTTGACATCTACTAGATGACATATCATTTGAAAACGGCTCCTTCGTAGGCATTGGATAGATGTGAATATTGGCGCTTGTCAGATCAGCAGGGAAAACCCCCTGGCGTTCTTGGATGGTGGCCGTCTCGCGCTGTTACTTTTATAGAAAACCATGACACTGGTTCTACACAGGTTTGGACTCCGCTTTCAAAAATAGTTTGGTAAAATTATATTGTAATAACATCGGTGCTTGGCCTGTTGGTGAACGCTTGGCCTGTTGGTGAACGCTTGAGATATGAGAGTCTGCTGCACTCAAGGTCTCAGGTTTATATCCCACTAGGTGCTAGCAATCCCTGGATCTGGCTGGTCCATATAGAATTTTGCTCTAACTTTAAATGGACCTAGCAATCCCTGAATTTGGCTGGTCCATATTGAATTTTGCTCTAGCTTTAAATGGCCTTGGAACTAAGACCATTTAACTACCGTTGTAATGTGCTAACATCATAAATTTTCTTTCGTATTTTCTCTTGAAGGGTCACTGGAGATTTCCCCACGAAAAAGAAATGCAAGGATATGCTTACACTCTTACTCACCCAGGAACTCCTTCAGTGTTCTTTGACCACATTTTCTCTCACTATAAAACTGAAATCGAGGCACTTCTCTCTATAAGGAAACGGAACGCGATCAACTGCAGGAGCACTGTGAGTATATGAAATTTCTTGTTCAAATATTTGAAAACAAGAAACTTATTGAAAACAACGTGAACACAGAAATAAAAACAGAAAACGGTTTCTGATACCCAACTCTGATGATGTTCTTTCTTTGGATGGCCATCATTTGTCCAACTGATGTATTGTATAGACATTGATATCGAATATCGATATTATTGGAACATTCACTTACCTTTGTTTCTTGATGTTCAAGGTTAAAATTCACAAGGCAGAAAGGGATGTTTATGCTGCTATCATAGACGGAAAAGTTGCTATGAAGATCGGTCCTGGTCATTTTGAACCACCTAGTGATTCCCAAAAATGGAAATCAGCTTGGGAAGGAAGAGACTACAAAATTTGGGAGGAAGCATCATAATATATTTATTTCAAATCTTAGTAATATATAATATATTCGTTTGGATGATGGTGTTAAGTGTGATAAACTACAATTTAAGTGAGTTTGCTGCACAGAAGCATCATTATAGAGAAGGCTGCAGTCTGAAACTAGAAAGCCTTCAAATGAAGGATTGAAATTGAGTTGTAACATATTTATTATGTTTACAATTTATATTGTATTTAGATTCTTGTATCAAAAAATGTGTTGAATAAGTGGCAGTTAATAAATGAAGTAATTAATGGATTCATCTGTAAGAAATGATTTGGTGTTATATGTGTGTCTAATGAAGCTGACTCATTCTGGAAATATTCATTCCAATAAAAGGCTTTAAGTTAAAGCCTAAATCACTTTAAGGACTTTACTAACCCAAATGGGTTTAGTTAGAATGAGATTCTTCACTACACCTCATGTCTAACTAATTTACTAAATTTCTAAAATATTCCAAAATTTTAATTTTGAAATTCGGACGCATTAGAATACCCGCTAAATACAAGTAATAAAACGTATGGATATTAAAATCCGGACGTACCTCACAGTAAAACAAATTCAACCTAAAAAAAAGTTCAAATTAAAGTTTAAAACATGCGGATTTTAAAACCTGAAATTAACTTACAGATATTGAAATTCGATCAAGTACTTGTCTTGTCTTTCCTGGTCTTTCTCTTTTATTTTCCTTCTATTTAAAAAAAAAATAAAATTGTAGAACAGAGTTCTCACAAGTGTTCTCTTGCATTTCAATCTTTTTTTTCAAATTCAACTCCTGTTTGTTTAAACTAATGATCCTCGTCCACTTTTACTCATCTCCATTCAAACTATGGATATTAATCCCTCAAATTTTAAAAGTTTCTCATATTATGTTTTTTTATTTTATTTGTGATGTATGCCATTCATAAATAGGTTATAGTTATGTTACATTAAAAAACATCCAATACAAATGTACAATTTGTTTGGTCCTAATAAGATTTGATGTGAATTTGGGGTATTTGAGAGTTAGGGTACGTGATGAATTGGTCAAAAGATGGCACACATAGACATCGTCATTTTATCTTCTAATCGGTGTGATGGTTACCACATTGATAATATATATGCCTTCTACATCTTTCGATCACAGAAAAATTATTGGATCACTCTAGAATTAGTAGATATGAGGTACTCGATGTGATGGTGACAAAATTAGAGGCTGATCAGGAAAAGTCAAAGAGGAGATAAAAGACACCATAGAATGTCATTCTAAATTCTCATTCATATAGAAAATTATAGGAACCGCTTGAATGCGGTTGTAGATGTTGAGGATTATGAGGCACAAGTTGCCTATTATAGAGTATCTACATTGAGGACATACTTTCTGATATTGGTTGGCACCAGCATATTCATGGGCAAAAGTGTGACATATGTCGACATTATCTACAATAAAAACTTCACGAATTTGGAGAGGATTCACGAGTACAATTGGGGGGTGTCTTTTTTGGTTTACCTCTATTCAAAGTTAACTGAAGATAGTTTATGGAAGATGAGATAGATGACAAGACACAACTGTCTATTTCAGAAAATTTATTTACTTTCTTACTGATATTAATTTCACAATACTTATATTACATACTTACTGATATTTCATCTAAACCATTTTTAGGCATGGATCCTCCAACATTTTTCAAGTATCACCAGTTGGGAGTGTGTCGAATACTACTATGAGAATTTTTCACATGCATGCTTGATTATCCTGCTCAGAGGTAATCTAGTGGGTGAGTCGTACATCCTTGCTTTTGACCTCATTATGGAGGATGATATATGCTCCACACCATATGGTGAATACCATCAGACATGACTATTGGAAGTGATATCCTAATACTCTGGATGGTTTCCTTTGTGGGTCTCGACTTATGAATCTCGATCTTCCTGAGTACTGCGACAATTTGAGTATTTGTACGATATACTTAGGGACCCCACAATTGGTGCTCCTTCCAATGCCCTTCGTAGAGATGTTGATGTGATATTTGTGGACTACCATGAGCATCTGGTGCAAAAGGATGTCCATAGTATGACAGCTCCTCATTTATAGAGTATGATATATGATTACATCCAATACTTTTATAGAATGTATATCTTTACATGACACCAAAGTCAGAATGAGATTCCCCTAGGTCATATCATTAGGAGTTATTAGAAGAAGAACAGTTAAGGGTGGACCATGTCATAGATTTATTCCTGATATGTCACTATAATGTTGCTATTGGGAGAGAGACCATAACTAAAGAATATTTTTAAGGCACTCCCGAGAGGGTCACTCTATAGGAAATCATAGCAGAGGCATAACATGCATTGTAATATAAGAGATATAGAAGGTGTAATACCCCAGACTGCTTTCAAGATTATCGACGGACCCCACAAACCAACGCGAGTCTTTTAAACATGTTTTGTCCTCATTCACACGTTTTTCGAGAAACTTCCCAGAAGGTCACCCATCCAAATAATACTCCAAGTTAAGAACGCTTAACTATGGAGTTCTTATGTGTTAAGTTGTCCCAAAGAAGATGCATCATGTTGGTATAAGTAGTACCAATTAATCCTTATAAGTCTTCCTTTAACCATGCAGTTCCATACCTATACAACCTCAAGATCCCTCTCATTCTAATGTGAATTTTTTTTCCTAGAAGCTACTAGGAGTGTCTCATTGTCATGCCTCGTGCACCAACAACCACTCCCTCGCCCTCCTCTCTAGCATTAGGTGTTACATATCCACCAGCTTCCGCTTGATTTGTCCTTGAAATACATTGTATTGGGAGAGGTTTGCCTCTGGTACCATTTGTAACTTCCTAGACTGCTTTTAGGCTTATCGAGTGACCCTATAAACTAACATGAGTCTTTGAAGCATGTTTGTCCTCACTCACACGCTTTCCGAGAAAATTTCCAGAAGGTCTTCTATTCAAATACTACTCCAAGTCAAGCATGCTTAACTATAGAGTTCTTGTTTGTTAGGCTATCAAAAAGAAGATGCATTTTATTGGTATAGGTAGTGTCGCTACTGCGAAAATCGGCGCCGGCTGACAGAAGAGTCGCCACCGTGCGTTATTTATCCCAAAGGAGGGAAAGGGAACGCTCGAAGTAAACCTAACGCAAAGACGGGAAAAGGTATGGTCATCGCAACCAAAACCTGGATTCGGGAGTCGGTTACGCAAGGGGAAGGTATTAGCACCCCTCACGTCCGTCGTACTCGACGGGATCCACGCTTGGTGTTTATAAGGAAAAGGGTGTGTTTATCTATCTACGCTAATGGTCAGTCTGAAAAAGAAAAGCAAAGGACAAGACTCGACAGAACATACGGTGTTCTGGGCCTACGTACTCCCTCGTGCAATGGGAAAGTCAGAGTCAACGTAGTTCGACTACCTACGTCTAGACAGGGGGGAAAAGTTGCTCGCCAGGACATCGCATCCTGTGCCTACGTACTTCCATACGGCATGGAAGATCAGAGCAAACGTAGTTCGACTAACTACTGCTAAACAGGGGGTTCTCACACAGCAGTGAGAAAACAAACTGGTTTTAAAGGTTCGGGAACCTACAACTACGGTCTGGTCTCAAATGCACTCGGGCAAGAGAAAAGGGATAATCAATTAGTCGTCAGCGGGAAAGTCTCGATCGCACAGCCACGAGAGAACAAAAGGTTAGTTGTTAGTGTGCTCGCTAGGATATCGCATCCTATGCCTACATATTCTCGTCTGGTACGAGAAATCAGAGCAGCTGTAGTTCGGCTAACTACGACACAAGCTACTCAAGTGCTTTCTATTGCTGAGAAAGGGAAAAGACACCCTAAAACTATGGTTGAAAAGGGGAATCTACCTAATGTTATCATGCCTGGTTGACCATCCTAATGTCTATCATAACGACTCCGCAGCGGAGAAGTTAGAGCTCCTAAGGGATCATGGCAACAGGACTAAACAGCAAACAGGACTCAACTGCAAAGTAAAGAAATACTGGAAATATGCATGAATGCAACAACCAAACAATCAAGGCACAAAGGCCACACACCACAGAGGTAAGGGAGCTCGGCTCTACCAAATACCAGCAAGCAAAGCCACTCAATAACAAACAAGCAGAAGGAGGACCACCTCAACTTCTTATGCACACAAAGCCTACTTCTAAGATGCACCTACCTCAGAAATATCTAGATGAAACCCCTAGGTCTAATGCAGCACAACACCACACAAGTCAAACAATGCAAAGAGAAGGCGAACCAGCCTGACAAACTCCTATCCCAAAACAAGAAACGACCCCTGAGCAAGACCCTAAACAAACCTGAAACAAACCCCTGAACAAAGCTCTATGCAAAATCCTAAGCAAAACCCTAATCAGATCTCTAAGCAAAACCCTAAGCAAATATCTAAGCAGAGCCCTACACAAGAGAAATCAATCCAGTCTCCAAGCTTCAACACAAGCTTACCAAAGAAAGGGAGCTAAGTAGGCAGACTCATAGTGCTCTCCTCAGGAAAGTACTAGGAGGTTACCACTCAGGAATCATATCCTATGCGGCTCAACAAATGTGAACGGTTTACATTCCTCCTCAGGAGAAACTAAACTCACATGAAGGCTCCGGCATCATTGGATACTTGAGAAATCTTATATGAACTAAGGGAACTAAGTGAACAGACCCATAGTGCCTTCCTCGGGAAAGTACTAGGAGGCTTCCACTTAGGAATCATATCCCATGTGGCTCAACAACTGTGATCAGTTTACATTCCTCCTCAGGAGAAACTAAACTCACATGAAGGCTCCAACATCCTTGGATACTTAATAAATCCTAGATGAACTAAGGGAACTAAGTGAACAGGCCCATTGTGCCTTCCTCGGGAAAGTACTAGGAGGCTTCCACTTAGGAATCATATCCCATGTGGCTCAACAACTGTGATCGGTTTACATTCCTCCTCAGGAGAAACTAAACTCACATGAAGGCTCTAACATCATTGGATACTTGAGAAAGAGGTGAG